ACTACAATCCAACTCTACCATAAGCATGGGAGAATGGCTATACTAGAGGCCTAGAAGCGTGGCTCTCCTTCCTCTTCGTGTGTGATAGCTTATTTAAAAACCCTAGATTGTTGAGTTACAGGGACGACACACATCTTCATATTTCTCCAACCTAGGTTGCCATTGTAGCCGACACAATGACTCCCCTCTGATTTTCCAAAATCACAAAAGTCTTAATGGTTTGCTTTTTCTCTTTCATTCTTGCTCTCTCAGCCTAACATCCACATCTACGATGTCATATATGACCGGCGAGTCTGGCAACCCAAAGTTACAATCACTTTGTGATCGTCGTTGGGCAACCTCAACGATCTGAGCCAATAGGGTTGCTACTATTGCTTCTCTTGTTTGTTGACCAAGTTCCACATGGACGTCATTTCCCATGGCCGTCAACTTCTAAATCATCTACATAACAACCATGTTCCAAGGCCAAGCTCCATCCAGGTGGTCCACAACCCGGTCGAGCTTCCCAACAGCCAGATCGGTCCTTTTAAAAGTTAGGTCGGTCTCCCCAACAACTCAATTTGTCTCCTCAACAGCTCGATCGGCTTCCTACACAACATGGTCGAGCAGTGTGTTCATGATTAGGTTATCAATGGTAATGACTATTGATAACGGTTGATTTTATGTGTTTTTATGTATATATTTTGTGAATAAATAAACTCCTTCATAGCTTTTACCTTGTTTTATCCTCAAGTTTAGTGTGTTTTCTAGTTTTCTTGTGTTTTATGTAGTATATGCTTGTTTTTACCTCTAATCTCTTTATTTGAGTGTGTGAAATAAATGAATAGGAAGCAATTCTAGTGGAGGAAAACAAGCAAGAACTCAAGAGAACATGTTTTGGGAAAATAAAAGATCAATTTGAAGCAAATACCCATGATGGGCGCCTTTGGACCAAGTAGATCTGCATAAAAAGTGAAAAAAATGTAGTGCAGAAAAATCAGGTTGGGCCCCCCTGGTTCAGGGGGGCTGAGCGTCACCTGCACAGAAGCTGATTTCTGGTGTGCTCGAGCCGGGCGCCCCAGGAAGGGGGCTGAGCGCGGACGGTGCCGATGTGTCAAAATGGGTTATTTAAACATGGGTCTCACGATTTTTTTGAGCATTCTTCTCCTCCTACACTTCATTCTTCACCTAGAGAGACTGGGAGAGACCCTTGGAGGGTGTTTGGGGTGTTGGGAAGCTCTCCCACTCCTCCTTGGGTCTTCAAGCTTCATCAATGGTGATTTTTCCCCTTTTGGGTTGAGGAAGAAGATGGGTCACAAATTGGAGATGGAGATGCGAAGGGGAGGCGCAAATGGAGCATGGAGCAGCTGCCAAAAACCTTGGGAAAGTTTGTGCATCCTCTCTTTGGTTCCAATTTCTTCCCTATCTCTTCAATTTTGTAGAACCCTATGTTCTCCACCATTGAGGGCTTTTCCTATTTGTTGAGATTAGTTGTAAAACATGGAATTCTTATGTATTTTGTGATGTTAATGCTATATGCTTTTCCAATTCATGTTAGTATTTTATTTTTATGCTTAATGCTTGCTTTGGATTGATCACTCATGCATGAATTTTGGTTCTTTATGTATTGAGAAATATGAATTGAACCTAGAACTGAAATTGAACACCTATTGGATGGAATTGAGATGTTTGTGAATGCATGAGAATGAAATGGATGAATTCTAGTCTTAACAAATTGTAAATACTCTATGTTAAATTCCTTGCACACCAACTGTTTGATAAAAATACCAAAAAGATCTTGTGTTTTTTGTACACTTTGATGTCTAATTGAGTTATGGAAGGAAGAGTTGTCATGTGTTGCATAAGTCCCTAGGGAGAGAACGATATTTATCACTTGCTACGCTATGACTGGTGCACTTGTCGTTGGTTTTGCAGCTAACAACTATTTAACTTCTTAATGTAGATTGAGATATGATTAGACCATTATTAAGACAATAAAAGGTAAAAATCCATCTAAACTACTATAAATAAAGGTCATAGGTATGACTTTAAATATCATGCACATAATATACATCATTGTTTTTTTAACCAATCGATCATTACTTATTTGAGCATTGGAGTGTCTTTGACAAGTACCCACTCGCACGACTTAAACGAGGAGCAAGAAGAGAGAATAACGTAACTTGGATTATGGAGGATCGTCGTACAACTCATTCGATCTTCAAGACAGCTTAGAGTGCTTTAAGTAAGAGACATCAACCCCATACCCAAACACCAACTATATATGATTATCCTCACATTAAGGTTCACTTTACAGAGAAAAGAAAATCACTTGTAAAAAAAATAAGATATTAAATGAAAACTTTAAAAGGAAACTTTTACATGTATACTATGACCATTACATATGAATAAACTCTAAGAAAGAGAGTTTGATGAATTGGTTAATAATAAGATTTCAAATGAAAACATCTATAGTTTTTATGGGTATTTTCCTACAAATAAATTCTAATTAGTATTTAATATAGAAAAATAGTAGTTGATTATTATAAAAATGATTTATTGTATAGTCTTATTTTTATCAATGTTTAGTTTAGAGACGAAATCAATGATTGAATAAAATATGTGTTTACCTCATGTAGTGTATGGCTGGACGACCACACCACTAAAGAGGGACAGATGGTTGGATAGGGTTAGTGGCTGAACGAATAGTTCCAACAACAAAGTACTCCTTAAGAGACATTGCAAATCAAGGTTAAGAGTAAGTACTAATTACTGTATAATGGACCAAGATTGGGTCATGATTAGGATTTCACTAATCTTAGACCGATCTCAAAAACTATAAATAGAGGTAAAAAATAAGAGGTAGGTGATCCAGTTTATTGTGAATGTAAGACTTTGTTCTGACCCCGACTATATTAATTACTGACTTAAGCATCAGATACCTTTGACAAGTACCCTTCGACCGGTTTGGAGTGTTGACGAATGAGGGCTTGGACTAAAGACGAATATAGTTACCCGTGCATCCAAGGAGTAAAAGTGTGAAAGTATATTCTGTGAAATTACTCGACCCCACACCTGAAACACCTCACTATTTATTATTATTTCTTATTAAGATATAGTGTTTATCTCACCTTCGTTTTTAGTTAAGTGGTTACTTGTTTAACTGTCATTATTTTTATTGAGTGAAAAATAAATTTTTTATGTATTTGTTTTTTCTATTTATACCTTTTAATAATGATTTTCAACATTTTTCTATTTTTAAATATAAAACATAGATATTTTAAAAATAAGTACACAAAAAAAAAATAAGATGCTCTTCGTAGAAGTAATTGGAATATATATATTGTCAATTGCAATTTATTTTATAAATTTACTTTGGGTGAGCTAATAACACACAAAAGACAATATACATTAAAATAATGATGAAAATATTATTTATAAGTGTTTATTCTACCTTAAGTTATATACAACAAATATTATTTTTATATATTTATTGATGTCTATCAAAGGGATGCTAAATAAAAATACAAGGAGTTGCCTTTTAATAAATGTTTAAATTTAAATTATATAAAGTAGGTTAGGTTTTTAGTAAATATTTTTTTTTGGAATTTTACAATGAACATATTATATGAAATTAATTCCTTAGAATCCTGGTCTCATGAAAATCTGTTTTTAAATCATTCATTTCCCAATACACTGTGGCACTATTAACTATATTTTAAAGAGATTGAATTTAGGTTTTGGAGTTTGAAATCTCTTCATGTATATTCCGTGTAGATAATTTTGTTCTTTAGTGGATTCCACCTTTGTTCTTGCTTTAAATTGTTAGTCAACAGTAAATTTATATTAAGTGAAATTATATACCGGGCTATTAAATAACCTGGTAATAATACCTAATTGTATTAAACGATAATAATACACGTTTTAGCATAGCGAAAAAGAAATTAAACCACTTTTATTCGCTGAGATTTACTTAAATGTATTCAAAGTAAGATTATAAAATAATATTATAAATGTTGTTACTTTTTAAGAGATATATATTAAAACAATTGTCTCCTGTCTCTGAATTATGAATATGGGATAACAGCAGAGTCAACACATATCACAGCCTCTCTCAACTTCATAATTTCTTTCATTTTCCTCATCATACCATTTTGTCCTTATATAAATGAAATAATTGAGCTTTCTCATCATAACACAGACAAATTATTCAATAAAATTATATCTAGTTATAATTATGGTAACAGGGTATGTATATAAGGAAGAAAGAGTAAGTTAAAACAAATGGCATGTGTGTGCATAACTCATCACACTGAATTTACACGCTAGAAAACATGACTACTGGAACCTCCTTTCCCTGTTCACATATCCAAAGATAATATCAAAAAATATATGAAATGAAATTGTAGTCTATAGGTGTGGTGAATCAAAGTCAACAATACCAAATGTAATGCAAATGCAAGTGTAATGCAAATGAAAATGCAGTCAAAACCCACCCAATCAACAACCCCTTCCATTCCCACACATTGCCATTCACCACACGCCTGCTCCTCCATTACAACAATCCTTGCTTCAATAATAATCCCGTGTCCCCCACTCCCCAATAAAAGGTCAACGTCCTCCACTAACTTAACAAAATTTTCAAAATTAAGGCTAATTCAGGTTTTTAATTTAAACGAGTCAGGCCTGGAGGAACTAAAATATTTTTATATTTCTCTTGTTCATATTTCTAAGAAGCAACTCAAAGATTGTTTAAGAGCGCAAGACCTCTTACCTAAGCTTTGGAAACCTATATCGACAAAAGAAAATTAGTATTAAAACTGATTTAGAAAATTAAGTTATTATAAATGATTATTAAGGATGGTAATTGAATTTGAACAGTTTTTTTAGGATATTTAAAAAATAATAGTAATAGTAATAGTAATTTAATAAGAAAAATGAGAAGAAGGCGTTTTGTCCGTTTGGATAGAGCGTTTGATTGTTATTGGTAATTGGCATGGGATGGCACCAACGTTTGACGGAAACAGGGTAACGTGACAGTCCAGTCACCTAGTGGACCAAAGCAGCCGAATCTATAGCACCCATTTTGACCATAACAATAACCTTAACCATTCCCCACCCTCCTCCTCCTCCTCCTCCTATTATTTTCTTTCACTTTGTCAACCACTACCTTCTCTCTTAATTCCTCTTCTCCCATGGTTTAGTGGCCTCAACTATGGCCGTGGAGCTCATGACAGGCTACAGAACCACCACTTTCACCACCAAAGCAGAGGAAAATGCCGTCCAGGAAGCAGCCTCCGGTTTGGAGAGCGTGGAGAAGCTCATCAGAATCCTCTCTCAGACTCCCCAACAATACAACTCCTCCAATCAAATAGCTATCGACTGCAAGGCCGTCGCCGACCTCGCAGTTTCCAAGTTCAAAAACGTCATTTCGCTCCTCGGCCCAGGCCCAGGCCCAACCCCAACCCCAGCCCCAACCGGCCACGCCCGCTTCCGAAGAGCTCCTCTTCCTCCTCCTCCGTCTCCTCCTTCCACACAACCCTCCCAGCCTCCCGTCTTCCACGCCACCCCTCTGCACCAAATCCCCAAAACAGACGGCACCCTCAACGACTCCTCTTCAAAAACCATTTATTTCTCCTACCCCTCCCCCGCCACTTCCTTCATCTCCTCCCTCACCGCCGACGCCCACACAAAACAACCCTCTTCCTCCTCGCCGCCCCCGCCTGCGCCGGGTTCTTTCCACATCACCACTCTCTCCCACGTCTCATCCGCTGGGAAGCCTCCCCTCTCCTCCTCCTCCTCTTTCAAGAGGAAGTGCAGCTCTGAGAACCTGCCTTCTGGAAAGTGCGGTAGCTCCTCCAGCCGCTGTCATTGCTCCAAAAAGAGGTATCTCAACAACCATGCTTCTTTCTTCCAAATTACTGTTTTTTTTTTCGTGACTCAATCTGAACTTGCTCCGATTTTTTATTTATTTATTTCTTTTGTTTTAGAACTAAATGCAATTTAGTTTAGACGGTTTGTTCTGACGATTAAGGTTTGGTGTGGCGCAGTAGGAAAATGAGGTTGAAGAAGGTGGTGAGGGTACCGGCTATAAGCTTGAAGATGGCCGATATTCCACCGGATGATTATTCTTGGAGGAAGTATGGACAGAAACCGATCAAAGGATCCCCTCATCCAAGGTACTGGGTGTATTATGTTTTTGGTAATTTGCAGACACGAAAGTTGACTACTGAATTTCAAAACTTAAAGTAGACTGAATTTATTATTTGTTTCCTTTTATGCTGGTTGAGGTTGGTTTTGCGGGAATTACCCTAGTTGGATCTTTGAGGAGTGAGGCTGGATGCTGATAATTTTTATATCTACAAAGGGGTTACTAAAAGTGGCAGTGTAGCGGGAGAGGTTGGGCTCGGCGCGAAAGCATTTGAGCCGAGCTATTGGATGTATCCGGCCCTATGCGGTGGTAACCTACGAGGGGGAGCACGAGTCAACTCTCCCCAACCCTCACTTCGCTCTCCGCGGCGATATGGGCCACTCAACCTGTACTTTCTGAATCATCTTGAACCGTGGTGTGGTAACCCGTTACCAGTGTGTATCGGAACTGAAGCAAATCATAATAATCAGGTTTAGCAAGATTTCAACGGGGTAATTTGGAGGCGGTTGAATTGCCACTTTACTCTAGTCAGCGGCAGCTAAATCGTCGAAAAAAAACAATTAGTGGGGGTTCGTATCCTCTTCCCTGTAGACAATTATTATTGGATTCCTTCTTCCACTTTTTTTTTTTCTCATTCTCTTCAAAGAAGGCTGAAACATTTGTGAATCCGTTTGCTCGTTTAAAAAAGAAATTGTTAAGGTTTGGTGGCGTGGGTAACAGGGATTTTACTCTGAAAATTAGGAAAGCAAGTCGTTTGGTGTTTTGTTTATAGATAATATTTCCATGTTTGTTAAAAAAAAAAAAAACTTAAAAAAATATAAAAATCGATTTTGAAATAGCTGGTTCTTGGTGAATGGTTGCTAAAGCTTTTGCCGTGACACATATGTGAAGTTTGGTGGGCTGGATTTCCATAGCCGAAGGGGTTTTCCCTTTGAATTTTTTTGAATAAGCGTAAAGTGGAAGAAAAGCAAGGAAAGGGAGCCCTAGTCAAAAGAATTGACGAAGAGGAGGGACATGGTGCGTGTATAGACGGTGCACAAGTAAATAAGAGAGAGAGAGAGAGGATGAGAAATGAAGTGGGTGATGCGTTAGAAAGAGAGGAAAGTGTTTTTAATGAAATTCATAAATGGTGACGGTGTATGGAGGAAAAAGGGTAGGTTGTTGACATTGAGAGAGAAAGAGATGTTGGAGTGGGATGGAAAACCGAAGGGAAAGTGTCAAAATGGGTCGCGGGTTATGTCGAAATTATAGATTATGTGCAGCGAAAAGGGTTCCTACTTGTTACGTACAATTTTGTTGTTTTGCTAGTCTTGTGGCCTTTGCCTTAACGGTCAACGTTTGTTACGCACTCATGCGGTCCCCTCCCTTCGCTCATTATCTATGTGTCATTATCGATTTCATTATTCATTCAACGAATGTTGCCTCCCTCAAAGTCAATCACTCACTTTCATTTTCACACTTGTTTTCTTCCTTCCCTATCCTTCTGCTCACTAGTCATTTCCCTCTCACTTATTTTTAATTCAAATATACAACACTATTTTTCCTTTTTTGCATATTATTTCCCCCAATTTCCACCTCCTTCCTGTTTTTAATAACGTTTACTTCAACACCGACAAACAAGAAAAGCCGTATATACTTAAGGCTCTGAGTCCTACAAACGCTTGTTTATACTAAAAATTCTTTAAATTCAAATTTTTTCCAACTTATTTGTAAAGATGAATATTAGGTTTTATAATTATTTTCAATTGAGTTTCCTTAAAAAAACTATTAAACTAACTAGTACTCCGTTATAAATATATTGTAATATATTGCATAAACATAAAGTATTTGTATAAACGCAGAATATTAATTTAGATTGCTTCTTAATCTTCTTCTTCAAACTTTTATTTCCTCGAGTATATAAGATTTCGAGAAGAGATTTTTTTTCGTTCCGAGATTATTATTACATCATTGACTCGCCTAATAGACAACTTCTGCTGTTACAGCAGAGCGGCACAAAAATCGTCTCACGACGTTTACAACAATGCACAGATTTTAAAAGATGAAAGATTGTTTACAAAAAGCTCAAAAAAAAATGATGACTCAAGTTCCTCTCTTCCTCAGCGTGCTCTGGTGTCTAACTTGATAGGCATTTAAAGATTAAAAAAAAAAATATAAAAAAAAAAAAAAATTAGAAAACTATTATTTCTTGTTGTTTCTCTTTCTCTTCTGCATTTTTTTTTTTTTTTTTTTTTTTCATTAAAAATCCACTATTTCGATTTAAATAAACGCATGCATTTTATTCTCTAACTTTTTTGATATATACAACGACTATGATAATCCTAATTTAAATAATAACGCTCATTTTACAAATTATTTAATAAATACTGCGTATTCTACGAATAACAAGTGAAATTTTCACTATCGATCAGAAAATTGAGCTTACATATTGAATAGAAAAATTGACATTACATTTTTATCAAATATTTAAAAGATCAAAAAAAAATAACCTTGAGAGACTTAAATTTTACAAGTATGATCAGAAATTTGACTTGCAATTTTTAAGTACCGATTGGAAATTTGATTTGTTTTTTAAAGTTTGATAAAAAAATTGCACTCACATTTTTAAGTATAGATTAAAAGTTGATGTGCATTTTTACAGTAATTATCAGAAATTTAGTTATATTTTATAAGTATTTATCAGGAAATAGCGGTGATATTGTTTGAGGGAGGGGGGGTGTGGGGGGGGGGATTACAGCTGGAGGGAAGGGGGGGGGGTTGTCTAGTGCGAGGGTGTTGCGGAGGTGGTGGGGGGGGGAGGCGGTGGGGGGTAGTGGGGGTAGGAGTGGGAGGGGGGGGGATGGAGGGGGGGGCGGGTGGCGGTAGGGTTGTCTATGTGAGTTGTGGGGGGTGGGTGGGAGGTGACATCGGGTGGGTTGGGGGTGGGGAAAGGGCGGGTGGTGGTGGCGTGGGGTGTTGGTTGTTCGGTGGGGGTTGGTTGGGTGGGTGGGGTGGGGTGAGGGGGCTGGGGGGGGGGTGGGGGTAGTGGGGGGGTTGTGGGTGTGGTATGGGGTGGGGGTGGGGTGTGTGGTGGTGGGGAGGTGGGGGGGGTGAGTGTGGGTGGTGGGGAGGAAGTGGTGTGGCGGGTGTGGGTGGGGGGGGTGGGGGTGCTCCGACGGAGAGTGTAGGAAGGGGATGTCATGCGCCGTATAGGGTGGAGGTGTTTAAAAGTGACTGTCCACGGGTGAGGATAGGAGTAGGGGAGGACTATTAGAGCAGGGAAGCCTTCGCGGGTGGTCTCGAGGACCCGTATGTGAATGCTGTGGGGGAAACTGGTGAGAGCGCTCTAATGTGGGGGTGAACTGAGTGCGGGGCTCGGTGTAGGGATTGGGGGTGTGGGGTAGGGAAGGTTGGGGACTGGGGTTGAGGTTGTTCAGCGGGGAGGCGGGGGGCAAGGGGAGTGCTTGGTGTGTCGTGGGAGGTGAGAGTGGCGTAACAGGTGGTGAACAGGGGAGCTGGGGGGGGGTAGGGGGTGGGTGGAGAAGAGCGGGTGATGGGGTGGGGGGGGAGTTAGTGGGGGGGAGGGTGGGGGGTTGGGGCGGTGCGGTACGGGGGGGTCGGAAGTGGGTGTTGTGGGTGGGGGGGGGTGGTGGGGGGGGTGGGAGTGGTTTGGTGGGGGTTTGCCAGAGGATTTATAGGGAGGGTGTGCCGTCCCTAGGGGGGGGTGAGGGGTTGGTGTGTGTATGGGGGATTATGGGTGGGGATTGTCCGGTTAGGGTGCGACTTAGTGGGTGTGGGGTTAGTAGGCGAGGTGTTGGCGGAAGGGGATGTGGATGGTTTTGTGGGGGCGCATAGGGCAGAGGGAGGGATGGGGGTGGGGAGGGGTGTGGGGGGGGTGTGCGTGGGAGGGGGCAGGAGGAGGTCTGCGGAAGGGGGGAGGCAGAGGGCAGTGTTGTGGGGTATGAAAGTACAAGTGGATGGGCGATTGCGAGATTTGGCGTTGGTACATGGACTGGGGGTGGGTGGAGGAGGAGAGGGGGCTGATGAGGTGGGGTGGGGGGAAAGGCTGGCGGGGGGTCAGAAATTTTGGGTGGCGGAAGTGGGGGGGTTTGGCAATGCGAGCATTGGGTAGTGGGGATGGTAATGGAGTGGGGTGGGGGGGCACCCGTTGGTTGGGCGGAGGTTGATGCGGTGGGTCGGTAGGGGTGATGGGGGGGAGATGTGTTGGGATTGGTATCAAGCTGTGAGGGAGGTCGTGGGTGGTAGGGGGGAGGGGGTGGGGTAGAGAGGGGGGGGAGTGTGTGTGGATTGGGTGTGGGGGTGGGTAGGGTGGAGGGCTGGGGGGGTTGGGAGGAGGCGGGAGGTTTCGAGGCGAGTGGAAAGGGAAGGGGGGGGTAAACGGAAGGTGGAGGGGGTGGTGGGAGACGGGGGGGGTATGGGGGGGAGGCTGGAATAGAGTCAGGTAGGGCCTGGGGGGAAAAGAGGGGGGTGCGGGTGTATGCCAGTGAGGATCGTTCGGCTGTGCTTCGTCAGTGGGGGAAGTAAGCGGTGCGTGGGGTGAGGATGGGAGGAGGTGTTGAGGGTGTGTCCGGGGGGCAGGGTGGTGGGGAATAGGGGGAAGGGGGAGAGGGTGGGGAGCAGAGGTGGGGCGGGGGGGGGGGGATGGTGTGGGGAGGCGCATGGAAGGCGTGGGCGAGGGGGGAGGGTGTGGGGTGGTGTGGGGGTGGGGGTCGGGCGTTGGGTGGGTAAGGGGTGAGGAGGAGAGGGGTGGAAGGGGGCTGGGGGCGTGGCGGGGGGGAGTGATTGTTCGGGTAGGGGTGGGGTGGTTGGAGAGGATAGGTTGGGACGTAGAGGGTGGGGAGGGTGGTGCGCAGGGGGGGGGGGATGGTTGGACAGGGTGGGGAGGGGGTCGGGATGGGGGATGGGGGAGGGGTGGGTACGGGGGGTGGTGGGGGAAGGGGTGTGGGGGAAGGAGTGGGGAGAGTTGGGGGGGAGGGGAGGTGAGGTGAAAGGAAGGGGGGTGGGGGGGTGGGTGTAGGGGGGTGGAAGAGGGGTGGGGGTGGGTTCGAGGGGTTGTGGGGCGGATGTAAGGGGCGGGAAGAGGGTGGGTGTACGGGGGGGGAGGTGGGGGGGGGTTGTGGGGTGGGGGTGGGATGGATAAGTGTGGCAGGGCGGGGGTGTCGTGGGAAGAGAGGGTGGGGTGGTGTTGGGAGTGGTGGGGGGGTACGGGTGTGTTTGGGGTTAAGGAGGGGGGGGTATTGGGAGGATGTTCCGGGCGCACTTGTAGGTGATTGGGGGTCATCTGGGCGCGTTGGGGGGGGGGCGCGGGGGAGTTGGGGGGTTGGTTGAGGGGGGGGGGAGGGCAAGC